GAGTATTACGCCGTGAGTGTGCCTAGATACGGGGAAATACAACTCGGCGTCTGTGTTTTCCAGGCTGAGCAGCTTGCTTTCCGTGTCGGTCCGTCACGTGCCAACAATGGAGAGTCGACACGCAAACCAGACTGCAGCTTCCGCCGACGCGCCCCCTACACCTCTGCCGCATCTCATTGTGTACCCCACGGGTGAGTACTTACAGTTGACAGGTGTACAGTGTGACTGTACTTACACCCCTGCCGCATCTCATTGTGTACCCCACGGGTGAGTAAAGCGTACACATCTACAGTGTACGTACAGCTGTAGTGTACACCTCTGCCTCACCTTATTGTGTGCCCCACTGGTGAGTAGAGTGGTATCATTACACTACTGATAGAGTAATGTATGGGTATGAGTACTTATGCATACTCATCCAGCCGCAATTCACGGAAAGTTTGCGTCGCTGCTGCGTTTGATGCATAACATAACACATAGCATAACCATAAAAGTGCGTACTCCTGCTGTCGACGCAGCCCGACGAATATGTAGTACCGCCGAGCTTTTAAAAGCATCGACATCGCTAGACAAAAGGAAAACAAATATTGCATCTGTTATGGCACTGAACATGAGGATATTGCGGCTCTGCTGGGTATTCAAGAGCGCGCTTTCCGCTTTTTATGTTCGTCTCTGTTCTTGGAAGGATATTCTTAACTACTCATGTTAGGATATTTATTCTTTTTAACTCAATTTCATATGGTTGACCTAGCCATTATGGCCATCCAACGCGTCTGCCGTCTATCACATGAAATCGCCAGCCATGGCAATTGGCATATGCAAATTTCAATTGCTGCTGATTTGCTTTTGCACCAAGCGCCTAGCGTCGTGGACTTTGTATCACACTTCTGGCCCGCTCAGTCATCAAAAAAGCTTTGTAGTACTTTAAGGCTTAAGCTCCAAAGCTAGCAACAGATTGTTCTAGTTTTACAAGAAGCCTCGTAACCATATTCATATAATCACGTTTGATGCAGATATAATAACGCTATTCTGCTGTGTTTCTTGTTTTGTATGCATCAGCTGTGACTTGGCGACAAACTGCATTATTCATGCTGATGTGGCTCGGAAAGGAGAGTGGTCGGTTTGTTTGTTTGCGTCTCCCTGAGCCGTGACTTTCTGTGCAGAGAAAGCACCGAAAGCGCTGAGTCGCCGTGAAACAACTTCGACGCTCTGCCCAAGATTCCTATGTTATGCCCACCGACCACCCCAGGAATGTTTTCCAAACAAACTACTCCACCTCGATATTGGCGGCGGAGTGTCCCTTGGGCCGTATGCTAGAGACACTTATCAAACAATTGTGAGTTCGAGGAGTTATCAGTTAAGTCTAAGCGATTCGATATCATTTGGGACTTTTTTCGCTTAACATCAGTTATACAATATACATATGTGGAATAGTGCGAACCGTTTCAGATTGGACGCTCAATCCCAGTTCTATATTTTGGGCATTTTTTATGACAACGAGGTCAGCAGTAAGAGAGAGAGAGAGAGAGAGAGAGAGAGAGAGAGAGAGAGAGAGAGAGAGAGAGAGAGAGAGAGAGAGAGAGAGAGAGAGAGAGAGAGAGAGAGAGAGAGAGAAAGAGAGAGAGAGAGAGAGAGAGAGAGAGAGAGAGAGAGAGAGAGAGAGAGAGAGGGAGGGGTAAAAAGGCACGTGGCATTTTGGCCACAGTCGTTCGACAGCCCATTATTTCAATAGCAGCAATTAACTATTCCACACATCCTTGTCACAAAGGCTCGATATGTGGGTGCAAAGGGCCGTATCTTCTTCAGTTTATATTTGTATTCGTATGCTGATAAACAAATTACGCTGCTTACCTCTTTTATGCACATGCTTCAGGTTATGAAAGGAAATAATAGCCGAAACAAAGAATTGCTAAATATTGAGTTACATAGCCGTTGAGCTAATAAGTTTTGTACGAGTCCTTTCCTTTTTATTGATATCATAGGTGGCTCAGGTCAAGCTTGAGGTGAACCTATGAGGTGGGTTTTAATAAGCCTCAGGTCTTGCGGTGCTACTTTTAACAACGTAAGACTCTTCTGATACATGACTGGCCTGCGGGATGACGAATTGTTATGTGCTTAGTAAGGTAAATTTAATTTCCCCGGAGCACGGCGGTGAGTGCGGATGACGCAGTTGGAAAATCGATGGCTACCTCCCCTATATATGGGTTGAGCATGGGCACTGGGCAGAGTATGTGGATCGCAGCTTTGACATTATGTAGGTCGAGGTAACCTGCTGTGATTGATTTGCAATGGTCCAATGCAGTTTCCCATTTCATGTGTCAATTTGTTGTCCAAACCTTAGAACAATTGTGCACTGTTATCTTTCAAGCAATGTTCCCACTTCACAGTGATGCTTAGACGGTTTACTCCAACTTGCCAGTAGCCATTGACTTTCTTCTTTGACAGACCCCTACGCTTCAGTGACCTCTGGCCTTTCACTTGCCATTGTGTGGCCTTCCACTTGCCAAGTGTCCCTGACCTCCCACTGACCGCTGTGATCCAGTGACTACTTACCTTGCGTTCCAGTGCGACCGGAGACGGTGATCGTGCCAATTGTGTCCAGCATTGTCCTCTTCCCCGCTGCAGTGCTGCTAACTATCTGCTGCCTGAGGCGACGGGCAGAGCGGGCCCGACGGCGAATCAAACGACGAAGATACATCTCGTTCAGGTCAGGTCAAACAATTAACCTTTGCCTAGGTGACGTCATAGGTGTCACAAATACCCACGGTGTAGGCGGATAAAACATTTTACCCTTGCCGTTTTACTATACAGTTGTTATGATGAAACGCTTCATTAAACTTCTTGTGACGGAAACGGTATCCAAAGACCTTATTGCTCTAGTTATGGTTCTACCTCATACAGTTTGTGTTGACTCAACACTTAATGACGTTTGTTATAGTTACTGCCGCTCGGGCTCGCAGCTTCAATGTAAATTACGCATTCTGGGGTGGAAATTAAGTTGAGGACAACTGTTTTGTAACACGCTGATTTCCAAGCGCATTAAAATGCTAACCGGCTAACTCTCGCAAAGGTCGAAACACTTTGCTTTTGTTTCAGAGGCTCTGTTTTCTTTTATGACTTACTTTATCATTAGGCTGTAGGTACCTACTGTTTGCTTCGAAAAGCAATAACACTCATATTTTGTTGAGCATTATTATAAAAAAACGTTCAGCTAATAAAAAGTATTGACTGATATTTAATTTTTAAGAAAATCCAATCTTCAGCAATGAAATAACAATGTAAGACTGGCTTTAAAGCGCTCAGGAATGCATCAGAGTAAATTAGAGACAGCAGGATCCATTGACCGTCGATTTGGTCCTTTGTTTCAGGGATCGTGGGGACATTCCAGGCCGTCAGATCCCGATAATACGGATACACGGCCAAGGAAGAGATTTCCCAGGTGGGGCCCATTGCATAATGTATGAGGGCTATGCATGGGACAGACGAGAGAACTAACTTCTAAAGGACTTTTTTGCATTTATTTCCGATACATTTATCCAACCTTATGTAGCTTCTGTTTTGTCGCCTCAAAAACACTGTGCGCATCAATGAGCTAAGCGTTTGAAATTTGAACCGCATCACGGGTACATACACGTTCACTGCTCACTAAGCAGAAAAGTTGCGTAAAATCTTGTCTCTTTCTCACATCTTTTCATATACAACGGTGATGGTAAGTGCTCTTGTTTTATCTTATTCGCTCTTACTTAAAGGATTGAATTTAAAGATGTCTGACAATTACACGGGTTTTGTTAGCGCGTTGGCTCTCTCGGTCGCTTTGTTACTATTATGCAGGCTTCCGATCTTAGAGGTAGCGTGATTTATTCTGGCAAAAGGGAAACGCTGCATGTCTTTAATATAATATATATTTAATAAATAAGACAATCTTATTTAAGACAATAATTAAAGGCTACAGGAGGAATGAGGATAAAGGCAATTTTACCGGCCTGCATGACGCTCTCTGATAACGGTCTCAGTTTCGGCTTTGGCAAATGCGACCACGTCCTCAACATAAACAATTTTACCCGATAGGCTGGCTTCGGGGAAGCTTACGGTACAGATTGCCACCCAAAGGTCGCTAAAAGAATGACAGGCTATCGAGTTTTTCCGGCAAGCATTCTAAAAAAAGCCACCAGATATGCTTCAGGACCAGGCTTTAATCCGTTTATTAATCCCAAATATTTCAGTGACAATGCACGCTGCGGCGAGGCTCCATGGCTTTTGAACCCTCCACAAGCGCTACCATGGTCATAATGGAGTTCCCACAGACTGCAGAAGCACCGAGACGTGACCAGAATCGTCGAATTGTGTCCAACTTGGGTCGATTGGCCCTCTATCCAGGGCTTCTCTAGCAATGTATTTAGTGACGGTGGCGGACTGAATTTTTAGCTTTTAGCTGAATCTGAAGATGAGAACTGCGAATGGTCATGCTGGTAGAATTGCTGTAAGACGTGTTTTGAAGAAACAATACCGAGTACAAAATAGGTGGTTTGAAACGCTTGACTAGCAAGTACAGGAAAACGAGAGTTGTAGGTTTTAGAAATACCGGCGTGAAGGACGATTCAATAAAAAAAAAACGAAATGGAGATGGCTTGGGAGCAGATTTCAGATGTAGGAAGATGCAAGTCAGGGAAGATGAGGTAAGAAAATGAGTACCAAACTGCTTTTTGAAATAGATGCTACACTCAAATGGGAATTGAATATTGGCTATTGTATTCTAGCAAGTTTCGTTATTATTACGAATATTGTTGGGGGTGTTGGCCGATGACAAGCTCGATGAATTGGTATTGAAAGATGAAGGTTGGGCTTTTGGCCGTAGTCTCTTCAGAATCACATCACACGCAATGTTGTTAGGAAATGGCATCCAACGTCTTGACTTTAAATCTGTCATATGTTCGTAGAATGATAACTCCTATGGAAGAAATATCAAAACTTTGTTGCATTTTGAAAACATAACTCTCCTGAAAATGGGCCACATTTTACGGGTGGCAGGTACACATTGCAACTTTTTGTCCCGGTTTTCTTTTTACGCTGCCAATCAGATACCCCACGGCAACATCGAATTATAAATGTATTCACTAAGTTCCAGAACTCCTGCGAAAGAGAAGAAAAAATTAGCATGTGCTCTTTTCACTGAAGAAGTTTGTTAAGTTGGTGAACTTTCTGTCAGACTTCTTACAAAGAGATGATTGGATAACTTAGGTTCTAAAATGAGCCAGTGTATTACCATAGCTTACCATTTATATTTTCCATCCTCGCCCGCAGGGATGCGGAGCCGGAGCCGGAGTTGGAGCCGGAGCCGCCGGAGCCGGCATATTTTGCCCGGAGCCGGAGCCGGAGCCGGAGCCGTGAAACAATATAGCCCGGAGCCGGAGCCGGAGTCGGAGCCGCCAAAAAGGGGGCGACTCCGGCTCCTTTTTATTTTTTGAAGAGGAAAAAAATAATTGACCTAGTTCGGTTTGACAGTACAAGGCAGTAAAACATATGGTACTATTGGTCTTAAGATAAGGGCCCAGGCGATCTGTAGTTTTGATGCGGTGAATACCCTCACCCTCGCCACAACTCGAGTGGGGGTGGCGCTGGCTGGGAGGAGGGGTGCACTAGGCCCGAGTTGTGGCGAGGGTAAGGGTATTCACCGCAGTGGCCCTTATCTTGAGACCAATAGTACGTCATGGGCCATCAAGTGAATGAAAAAAGCCGAATATCCCCAGTATCCCACAGTACGCAATCAACTTCCTGTCTGCTCCTCCCCCCCCCCACGTCTACTGCATCCCCAGAACATGAGGACCGGTCATCAGGTGACGGCCATTGTTTGAAGCCAGTGCAGTGGACTGCGACTCCCAGCACCGTCTCTTCCCTCCCCCACCCCCAATGCAGCCTAGACGGGTGTCAGCTTACGATGGTTCAGTGAACTCCGATTCGTGGCGACTGCGTTTCCAATGCCATCGCTTCCTAGTCCTTTGTTCTGCCAGTTCTCTCCGAGGTGCGTTTGCGCGGGGACGCGGTGAGCCGGTCATGGCAAAGAGTAACGCGTATAACCAATCCAATTTTTCTTCCACCCGTATTTAATTGATTGCATAGGGGATGTACTGAGTCGGAGCCGGAGCCGCCGGAGCCGGATCATTTTACTCGGAGCCGGAGCCGGAGCCGGAGCCGCCATAACATTTCACCCGGAGCCGGAGCCGGAGCCGGAGCCGATTTTTTCTCCGGAGCCGGAGCCGGAGCCGGAGCCGTCTGAAATTTCCACGGCTCCGCATCCCTGCTCGCCCGTAATGGTCTTCTTACAGCGTAATAAAGTATAGAGGTGAGAACATTATGGATTTCTTATTCAAAATAACGGAAAACAAATGTTAAATGTCTTCAAAATGTGTAACATAATGTACCGTAGTTTAGTGCAGCTTTGGTCACCAAGAGCAACTTTGGCCCACTCCTGGAAAACTAATTTGTTTCGCAGTAGCGTTTTATACTTAGAGAAAGTGGGGTAGGTACAACGGTCAGGGTAGGCTTCCCTGACCGTTTTAACCCACTTTCCCCTAAGTGTTAAGAGTTACAGCAAAATAAATTAGTTTTCCAGGCGTGGGCCAAAGTTGCCCTTGGTGGTCAAAGCTGCACGAAACTACGGTATTCAGCTTAGAAAATTTTAGCACACCATTTCCACGATCCGTGATCCATAGAAGCCAGAATAAGAAGTTCCGGGTACCTACCGTGCCAACAAGAAAACTTCAATTACAGCTTCGTATAAAAACAAGGAACAACAACAAAAAATAATACAACGTCTCGTTTGTGAGCATTCTTATCTGGTTGAACATCTGACATGTTTCAATCGTAATGTAAGTTGTATGCTTCCTGTAGCGATGTTTTTTTCCTTTTTTTGTCTATGAATTGATTCATAAGTCACCACTTCTAGACTCATCAATCTTCATTGAGTTCATGAGCTTATCTCTTATTGATTTTCTCTCAAAGTATCTAAGCTGCTGCCTCCAATGAAGCATCAATCATTTCCAGCTTCATTCTAGTCATGAGGTTCACGACTCACGTGAATCCTTTCAAAGGATGTTGGGCACAGGGGACGTATCTCGTTCCTCTAAAAACTGATCCATTTCATATGCCAAGTGCAGTCCAATTCTCTATCCAAACATATGAATAAGACCAGGCGTTTTTTTTTTGCTGTTTTTTTTTTTGCAGCCCCCGCAGCCGATCATCCAGACACACAAAACGTTGTTGTTTATCTCGTACGTTCTCCATTGAAACGCTCCTCCCCTGCACTCTGCATCCAACTTGTTCGAGCCGCGCGCGCGGTAAGGCAGGAGCGCCGGGGGACAGTCACCTCCAGCTCGAAAAAGGTCAAGGCCGAGAATCTCACCATTAGAATCCTCCGAAAATGCCCAAAGCGTTAATTCAAAAATGTCCAAGAGGGGTCAATAATTCTCAAAAGAATTCGAAATGTTCGTCTGTTACTCTGCAATTCAACCGGTGGATTTCGAAGCCCCAAAGCAATTTAGCACCTTCTTATGTATATGCCTACTAAAGCGTTGTTTGCTTCATTCGCAGTTATTCAATTACCCTTTTTTATCATTGAACTTATCGATTATAGTTAGTTCGCCTTATTCATCACCGTTATATTTATGGCAAGTTGCGAGGAATATTTAAGCCCCATTAGTGTGCTGGAGGCTGCCGCTGCTCTCTTATAAGCTCTGATGTGGAAAATGGCAGTCTGCTATAAATAAGCCTTCCCATTCATTAACACTTAACAGCACTTTCACAATGACATTGGCGACGCTCCAAGGACGCCAATGTCGCCCGGCCAAAATCGGCAACATATGACGCCTGCCATTTCATTATTCACGTTGTCGACTGGGTGCATGCTCAGCGCGATACATTTATCGTCAAAGTCGAGTCTCCAGCCGGCGCCATGGTACATTCCTCAAAATTGGCTGGATTATAAATCAGCTGTCCGACATTGCATGCAATGTTCATCAGGAAAAGCACAGCCCGGGGGATGTGGAGCTCAGAGCAGCCCAGAGGAGCGAAGTCCATCAGCGACCATCGGAGACTAAGAGACTTTGCGGATTTCTTTGTTGCGTGAAGTGCTCCCTCATTCAAGGCTAATGTAATAATGGATTAAAACCATGAATATTCTGTAGTCTGTAAATGTGTGGCCGAAATTTTTAGCAATTCTTGTTTTAACTAAAAGCATCTGTCCCTCTGAAGTCTGAACCATCAGGGACGATGACTGGGCGGGCGGCGGCCGCGGGTTTTACTAATTGTCATGAGCAGCGAGCATTCTATTGACCACTGGCCACTCTTTCGTGTGCTGTTTCAGGGGGTAAACGCTCCAGGCGGGATGACAAGTGCACACGACTTCGGGAGCTGCACTACTCAACTGCGTCAGTGTGAGTGCCGAGCAGTGTTCATTTACGAGTAGAAGTCGGGCGACCATGTCCCCCCCCCGAACATGACTGTCGTCGCTCTCCTTAAACGTGTCCTTGCACCGACATCTGCCCAAATAATTGAGAATCCAGAAAGAGCTACAGAACCTTGCCGTCCCCTGCGCAAAATAACGGGATGCTCAACCTGGGATTAGGACTTTTTGTGACATTAAAAATGGAGCGAACAATTTCCAAAAGAGGAGCCATTTTGCTGACCGCCAAAGGTGGGAGCGAAAGCCAGACCCCCCCCCCCCCAACCCCCCCCCCAAAAAAAAAAAACACTTACAAACCTCCCCTCATCTCCAGTTTCCAGGCGGTGCTGGGAATCGACCTCGACCTGGACGACCGGTCAGACCGCGAGAGCGAGGCCATGGGCTACACGAGTCTGCGTCCGGTCTCTCCTGGCGGCAGTAGCATCAGCAGTCTGCGGGTGAGGCTGGTCGCCGCGACGCGCCGACACATCCCGGGGGAGATTTGTGGGCTCCGGTGTGGGCGCAGGTGACGAGCTGGGCGACCGCGGCTGTCCTTACCAGCTGATGAATGGGTGGACGAGAGTGGACAAGACGGGAGAACGAGCTGGGAGAGAGAGAGAGAGAGAGAAAGAGAGAGAGAGAGAGAGAGAGAGAGAGAGAGAGAGAGAGAGAGAGAGAGAGAGAGAGAGAGAGAGAAGAGACAGAGAGAGGGGGAGAGGCAGAGGGCGGGAGGCAGAGGGAGAGCGAGAAAGAGAGAGGAGAGAGAGAGAGAGAGAGAGAGAGAGAGAGAGAGAGAGAGAGAGAGAGAGAGAGAGAGAGAGAGAGAGTCGATGTGTGGTAAGCAGAAACTTTGATGGGAACAGGGTGCGAGAGGAAAGACGTGTGTTGCTGTCCAGTTTCCAGACCCCGGATCTGTTGTGCCCTGTACCTGTGCTTTGCCCTGGATCCGTGCTGTGCTCTGGGACTGAGTTCTGCAGTCTGCACTGGTTCTGTGCTGTGTCATTGGCCCGTGTTGTGCACTGGGCTGACTGCTCAGTGTCAATAGTGGGCGTAACAAGGAGACACTAATGGGATTCTGCAGCCGCCTCGCTGTCACCGTAATGAACCCACCCCACTAATTGATTACCGGATGGCATTGTCTCACTTACAATTGGTCGCACTTGTAGAAGTCGTGACAAAGTAATAAAATTGTGAAGTTTACTTTCACTCTTACTTGATCCTTAGCTAGTTCACAGGGGGAAAGGCCCTATCGTGACAATCACATGATCTTATGCGATAAATGCAGAATGTCTGAGGTACTCTTATGCAGCAGTAGACATGCAGCAGCAGAAGACTCGTCAGCAGGACACTTTTCGAGACTTGCTGGCCTTTGGTGTTTGCAAGCGAGGCCCTGATCAGCCCGGCAGCAGTCCGGCGAATGATTCATGGATGCAATTTCGTGGCGACTTCTCCGAACTTTTAGCGATATTGAATGTCACGGTTGAAAATCCTTCTCTGAACTTCCCCGACAAAATTGCCCAAACCTAGATAGCCAAATGGCCTCAATCATCATTAGGGAGTATCGTGCAATGAGACAGTCCATGATCTATAGCAAAAAAAAAACTATAGATAACGCCATTGGAAAAGACGACTTGATAAGAGCGCCAGTAACACCATCCGTGGGCGCTCTACGCGCCGGCCGTTGTTGCTAGTCTGCGACACGGGCTCTCGATGTCGTCACGGGGATCTGATGTGCAATGAACCTCACTAATTGACGACACGCTTGTGTTGTTGCCAGGTGTTTCGCCGCTCCAGCGGTCCGCAAATAATTCAGATGGAGATGTCGCCGCGTGTGCCTCGCTCTGTGCGCACGTGCCGCACCCTCGCTCCGACTCCGCCCACTGGCGACACCTACCGGCGACCGGGGAACAGCGGTGCTGCCACCTTTCGGCGACCCAGGGAGCCCAGCGGCTCCGCACTCCAACCCTCCAGCGGACGGGCGCCCGCCAGAGCTGGAATTCTCCGGGTAGGCGACCAGAATGGCGCCACGCCGCCTCGGCCGAAGGAGACCGGCAGTGTCGCGCTCCTGCCGCTTCCGGAACAGAACGCCAGTGGTGCCACCTCGCGGTGTCCGGAGAGGAACACTAGAGACCTCTGTGGACGGCCTGCGGAGGCTGAGGTAGTGGAAACGTCCGTCGCCACAACGCACTGTTCGGGGGTCAATGGCGGGCGGGCGGGCGGTATGGACACTGGTGGCGCTGCGGTGACAGTCAGTCCAACCGTCATCGCCGCGGGCTACCTGGGTGACCTGGGCACGGCCTGCTGAGGCAGATTCAAGGTCAGGTCACAGAGAGCCACGTGTTATGTACAAAGACTACTGTGCGAATATGTGTTCCATTGCGAATCAAATGAGCAGTGTCATGATTTATGAAAAGCTAACGGTGATGGGCACATATAGTCACATAGTACGTTTTGCCATGTTGATAAATTATGTGGTTTGAAAGTTGGAATGTCACAGCGAGCTTCGTTAAAGTGCTAGTAGTAAAACTGCTGTTTCATTCATAATAGCCGTTTTCACGACGGCCATCTGGTACACATTTGGTGCACATCTGGTGCAGATCAGGTGCAGATTCGGTCAAATCAGGCTCAGTGTGTCTCTTAGTAGCTATCAGCTAGGGTTACACTAATTGCTTATATGCCTGCTTTGTCGTATTATCAGAGAGCATCATCGATTAAAAAACTGAAATAAATTGTAGCAAGGGAATGAAGGAAAAAAAGAAGAAAATAAAGAAAATTACTCCATCTGGCGGTTCATCAAACATCGCGGTCCACTGTCATTGCGGCTGATTGTAGAAGAATAACATAGAACAATTTGCTGCTGTAATGAACTCGATGGTTGAACTAGTAGAACAGGGGAGCTTGAGAGTCTTGGAAAAGATCCCGAGAGAGAGATCTAGAGAGAGATACAGGTATTGATGAAGATGCTGAGATAGATGTTGAGATCCACCTTGCATACAAATACATCTGATGGAAGATGCTTTTTAATTTAGAGGCTTGATAATTCTGTTCATTGTATAGACCATGATGCACGAGATGCTTCTTCACTGCTCGGATAGGGATAGAGGGATCCGATCAGCTGGGTTTGCGGCACAGTTGGGCAGGTGAAGGACAGGGCATTCGAAGTCCCGATGACCACTGCCAAACTTATGGGTGGTAATTACCTTGATTAATTGAATGTGATCATTCGTCCAGTCACCCATTCCTATATCACTGGCCTCCCCATTACGAAAACTGCCCACTTAATTCGTATTAGCGTTGCTATAGTTTAGTTGCCCTCGAGGGTTGCTAGCTCGACTGCCGTAACCGAATTCTACGCAATTCCTATCGGCCTTATTCTAAGATTCATCCTTCACCATTCTCACACCCTTGCTCGCGTTACATTCACCTTTCATGTATTCACCCAAATTTAATTCGTAGCCCTCAAAATTCCCTCCGATAGTGCTAGGCGTCGGATCAACAACGATCTCCCCGGCGAGATAAATGTCTCTTTCCGAAATCCATATGCATGCTCCGCTAACCGGCGACAAAGATACTTATCGCAGGGCCGTCCAGAATAATTGCACAAATATCCACCCTACTAATGTATGGGATTCACTACACGTCCGATAGACTTATGGTACACACATACACGATTTATATCCGACTTATCTCTCTATCCGGGAGAGATTACCTATGCCCTCTTCCGGTCCGCGTGTAACACCTCCGTTCACGACCCAGGGACCACCGTTCATATCCTGGAACTCTCCTCAGGAACTCTCCTTAAACCGTGGGATTTACTCTTCAAGGCCTTACGTGTCCTGGAGTACATTCTTCCCTCCCCTGAGGCTGTCCAGTACCGATTAGAGTACCTTTACGAAATAAGTATGAGGACTTATCCGGGACACTACGGCTCGCCTTATCCGCCCTTTGGGTGACTCACCCCTGACCTTCGGCTTCTTGCCTTTGGCATAACTTACTCTCCACTGCACTGTGCCAATCTTCCCCCTTCCCCCTGCCGTAGAAACCTCTCACTGCCTTCTCACCCAGTGTTACCTAAGCGGGAAAATTAACAGTGGCCGGTACCACTGGCGGAAAACGTGCATATGCCCTGCGTACGTGACGGTGTGTCCCTCTTAATATTCCGGTCTGGACGTGGGTTTAGAGAAGTGCATCTGTGTCTCATACAGTCATGCTGGTAAACGTTACGCCATAGGAGACGGGCAAACAAGCCGTCTGTGCCTCACAATGCCCTGTGCCGATATTGGTGGAGTAATTATTGGCGCTAACTCGCAAGAACGCGAATAACAGAAACGCATTATTTATCCAAACCAAATCGTAATCATCAGTTCTCGTATAAAATCTAGCAGACCTTGAACCGCTCTTGAATTTAATCAGACATATGATCTTGAACCAATTAACACGCATCGATTTGTCGTCTGGTTGTGATCCACCGTATCATAGTAAACTACTGAATGCTCAAACGGAAACGACTCATTGAATTTCGCTCGATAGCTTCTGATGGACTATTAGTTACCTATACAAATTATCTTTATAGAGTTCCAAAATATTGTCATAGGGGTCGCTAGCTTTTCAGAGGAAACCTAATTTAAATCATATTATTAACAGTAAACAATGCATATGAGAAGAACTGCAGTCCTAGATATTATCATAGCATTTCGTATTTGAAATTATGCATTAACTGTTTACGTTCTTATCCCGTTGCAACTTCCCACAACTAACCATGTTTCTATACGATGACCTCCACCTACCGCACGCGCCCCAATTACGGCTAACCCACTGCCCCTGTTGTGGCTGCTCCTCGCGCCCTCTGGCGGCTCAACGCCCGCGTCGGGGACGACGAATACCACGGCCGCCGGCCGGCGCCGCGTCGACACCGTCAGTCACAGTCACGCCGTTATGGACGCGTCAACACTCGCGGTACAGTGCTCGTGTGTGTTGTCTCTTCTGGCCGGGTAGATTCACCGGATGTGTCAGTGAGTGTGAATCTGGTAAAATATTGCTGCAATATCTCCCTGTTCGACATCTCATCAGCTCCATTCGAAGTAAGTTTTTTTTTTTAATTAAATTCCTGTCCCATTTAATCGTTCCCCAACAAAGATGGTCCTTTCTAGTATTTATTCTACAAAAGCACAACGATCGGTACCTATATTAGTCGCATATTAGCTCTAATCACAAACAATTCTACATCTACCTGTTACTCGACATTTCGCAATTTAAATGACGCAAAGTGACCATCTAAAGTCGCAAAGTGTCAAACCGTCAACCTCTAACCACTGCTCACAACTCTGCACCTAAGTAACAGAAGAAATTCCGCCGTAAGCTCAAGCATTCGTATCTGTCGAAAATCATAACTCATAGCCATATTCATAGATCGATCGCATGAATCAGTCGCCACCTTAAAACATTACATTCGCTTTCAACCGTATTTACCTGTTCAATAATTGATTTCGACTTCGCAATTAATTCCTTCAGCAATATTACCAATAATTTCGCAATGCAACTTTTAGTGAATTAAGCACGAATCTACACCATTAATTTCACAAACGAATTCCAACCTCAAATCGCACTTGACCACCGCCGATTATAATAAATCGAACGAACCAGTTTGACCAAAGACAATGACATATTCAATGTTGTCACGCATTCTGTCATCAATTTCAGCGTTCGTGACACTGAGCTGCTTATTCAAATTTTAGGATTTCGCTCACGGCCTAATCGTGAATTCCAACGGACGATAACGATTTGCTGGCGACTCTGACATGACCTCGAAATTCAGATCCTAATATGCTACTAGGGTGTCTGGACCAATAAGTTCAAAGTAATTTAAGTTTTCCAATTCCAATTGAGAGTGCATTTTATGGCAACCGAAAATGTTTGGCAGTCGTCACGGCACGGCAACCGGGCAGAGGGGGGGGGGTTCAAGGATTGGGATTGAGCAGACTTTTCAACAACACTCACATTCTGGAGTTCTCTGCGCTTCCGCTTCTCAGTGTGGTCTCAAGCGTCGGCGGTTGTCCTCCGGCTCTGGTCGGTCGAACTGAAGAGGCTTCTCGCGGGTGACCCCGGACCGACGGCGGCCTCCAGATGGCGTCTCCGGCTCCGGCTGCAGACTGTGACTCTCGGCTGCTCGACTGTGTCTCCGGGGTGAATCGTGCGCCTTTTATAGCTCGAGGGGCGGCCACGCCCTGAGCCGACCTCCGAGTCATTGCACCCAGGGTGTCTTTGTTACTCCCGTGCGTTTTCACTTGGCCGCTCACCATCTTCATATTGGGAGTTTTACCAGTCGGTTCATCGATGTGTAGGATATAAGAACATTGATAAAAGTGTTAATTAGCTCTGTCGTGCCGTTTCTTTATCATCAACCACTTTCATTCTTATATCGACTGCGTATCTGCCCGCAGCAGCCTTCTTTTCCTCTGGTTATCCAAATACCTCGGTAGCTAAACATCTTATCACATTCCATATAGCTCGTCGTTGTTTGCTTGAATTGGGTTGAATCCCATAACAGCTTAGTTAGCCTCAACAGCGTTTCTTTGTTCCAGCCACTTACAATGTACTCAGGAGACGACACTTCGTATCTTAGCCTTCATCTTAGATTTTGGCGAATCGGTGTATTCCGTATTGCTGTTTCCGACACGACCGTTGCGCTGAGCTGGTATAACTGTTTTCCCGACGTCCTCTTGCTTAGTCTCTAGGCTTGGGATTTGCAGACATTGTTCATGGCCGGCTGCTCCATTTTCTTGGTTGTATTTTGCTATTAACCTGACGGTGACTCTAGCCCTTGGAATTCAAGCCTGCATTTGCCACAAGCCCCATATTTGTCAGTCATTTCTCCCGCGGCTACTGTATTGGCTGATTACTTTAGGAGCTACCCCTCCGTCCGATCTTCCGTCAAAATGGTTTTATCTCCCAGAATCATACATCTTTTGTTGTCAACCTTTCTCGCGTCTGGATAGTGCTGCCCCCTTCGGTTGGCGGTAGCTCTGGCAACTAGTACCTTGGGCGTGTCCCCATCGTCAGCTGGCTAGCACCCCCCGCTTCGCTGCTGTTGGGCGTGTCCCCATCGTCAGCTGGCTAGCACCCCCCGCTTCGCTGCTGACCTTTCCCGCCAGGCCTTGTGGTTGCGGGGTGTGGCCGTAGCGTGCTGCCTCTTCTATTCAGTGGCGAAATCTGGAACTACAGGTCATTGCTTGCGGCTGCTGTGCCGGTCACCTTCAAGGCGTTCTGCCGGGTCACTCACCCTGGGTTGTTGTACCCCGACAAAGGAGGCCATGTGCTCCAGCCGGCATCCATCCTTTACACTGCTCCATGATCTGATGACGTATCTTGCTGATCCAGCGCTCCCAGCCGTTATCTGTCCTCGGCGTGGGTCCACGAGCTGTTGACAGTGTTACTGATCCAGCTGTTACTTGTTGGGATTCGAATCGTTCATCCTGCGG